CAGATAAAATGTCAAATGTCAATTTTTTTTTTAATTTAAATTTTAAAGTAATCCAAAAAAAATTTAAAAACATTTTTGATTCAAAAAAAATTTTTTTGATTTTTTTCAAAATTAATTATTAAATTATACTATTATTATTCTCAATGTTGTGTTGCCAAATGTGACTGTTTTTTTTGTATGCTGTAAATCAACTAAATAAATTAAATTGATACTGGTTTTGTTTATGTTTTGTATACCGACAAATATAATCTATACACTTAAAAATTTTGATAGAATTAGTTTAGTTAAAGAATTTGATTTGAATTATTGAAGATTTGGCAACGCTGCCTGATTTAGTTTTGCCAAAAGTGAGGTTATGTCAATAAAACTTGATTTGTTAATCATTTTATTTGAAAAAATAAACACAAAATACTGTATGAGAGAGTAACAGAGTTATTAATTCGCTTCTTGGAAGTACGCCTTGCTTCCTTGGGGGTCCGGAACCATGGTTTTCTTCCCGGGGGCCCAGTTAGCGGGGCACACCTCTCCGTGTTCGTCGGTGTACTGGAAGGCTTGGACCAAACGAAGAGTCTCATCAACAGAGCGCCCCACCGGTAAGTCGTTAATAGTGACTTGTCTCAAGACCCCCTTAGGGTCGATGATGAACAGCCCTCTGAACGTCACCCCAGACTCCTCGTCCAAAACCCCATACTCCTTGGCGATTTTCATGCTTTTGTCGGCCAAAAGCGGGATGTTCATCTGCCCTAAGCCCCCTTGTTTCCGCGGGGTGTTCACCCACGCCAAATGCGAGAAGTGGCTGTCGGTGGAGCACCCAATCACCGCCGTCTTGATCTTCTTGAATTCGTTGATGCGGTCGGAGAAGGCGATGATTTCGGTGGGGCAAACGAAAGTGCTACACAATTTATTAATCTCAAGGACACCAAATGTAGAAAATACTCACAAATCAAGTGGGTAGAAAAACAGGACAACGTATTGTCCACTGTAGTCCTTGAGACTGATTTCTTTGAATTGGCCATCAACGACGGCTGTGCCCTTGAAGATGGGGGCCGGCTTTTGGATGCTGGGGACAGGCATTGTCGAAAATACGTCTGTTTGACACGAAGTTTGAACAGAAAATGCGAAATTTGAGATAAAACCGGTGAAAGGTCAACGGCGATCGGCACTTGTTTTAATAATGGCCGGCGGGAACCAATGGAAAAAAACGTGTCCTAGCAACGACATTAGAGCGAGAGGGGCTTATGACATTTTACGTGTGCGAGACAGAGACAGACATTGAGGCTGGTTTGGCGCGAATTTTGAATTGATTATCACATAATTCGGTTAATTAAAACATGGTTTTATCGGTTTATTGATTTTGCCGTGTAATTGAAAAACATCATGTTACACAACTGGTAATTTTTGATTAAGGACAAATCGGGATTAAAGTAATTATCTACCGTTTTTGTCACTGATAATTTATCGCAATACGTGATAAAATGACGGGAAGCAATTTCTGCAAGTAATAATCTTGAATTAATTACATGAATACGCAAAATGTTAATTATAATTTCTATTTCATAATAAATATCACAATGAGTCGTTCCTATTTTTCCACTGTATTTTAAGAACCATTCGGTTATAAAAAAACAGTAATTCAGAGGTAATGAATTACCAATTATTCGATTTGTGTTTTTTTAATACTTTTTCAGCTCGAAATTCAGCAAAATTTCTTTAAAAACAATCTAAAAATTCAACAAATTTGACCAAAAACGGCGTTATTTTTGTTTTTAAGCACGTTTTTGAGATACAAATGAAAAAATCATAAAAATCTTGTTGAAGCAGGCAAAAAATACAAAATTATATCGAAATTAATATTATTGTTAACCCTCGACTTACTTCATTTATTTATTCTAAACACGCTTAAAAATCACAAAAACAAACAATATTGAAGTTATTTTGTTTGTTTCACTCGATTTTTGAGCAAACAAAAACAAAAATAAGCCGAGATTGTTTTTAATCACGTTTTTGTACTACAATGTCAGGTTTTTTGCAATATTTCGCTAAAGCGAACTGAAAAATCAACATATTAAGTCGAAAATTACATTAATTTTTGTATTTGTTGAAAGTTTTAGCACGTTTTTCAGCTAGGAAAGCAATTATTTTGCAAAATTGGTTAAAAAACAATCTAAAAAAAACATAGAATTAGACCGAAAATAATATTTTTTTCGTTCTCAAAGGTTCAAGCAGATTTTTAAGCTGAAAACTCGTGTTTTTTGCGAGAGTTTGCCAAAAGCGTGTCAAAAATCAGTAAATTGTTATAAAAAAATATTATATTATGATATTTTTACCTCTCTCTTAGGCTGTAATTTCATTATTTCGTCAAATTTGATTGAATAAAAACAGTTTTTATTGTTTTTTAAGAATATTACTAAACAGAGTCGAAAATGATAATTTATTTATGTTTTTTTCAGCTAGAAACACAATTATTTTGTAAAATTTTGTTGAAATCAAGCCACAAATTTAACAAAGTAGTCCAAAAACGGCGTTTTTTGGCCTTTTTCGAGTGTTTAAGCATGTTTTTGAGAGATAAAAACACAAAAAGGCTAAAACATTACAAAATTTAATCGAAATTGATATCATTTTTTAGCTTGTTTCATCCGACTTCTGAACCAAAGGTTTATTTATTTTGAAAAATCTTGACTACGCTTAAAAATCACAAAAACAATTGATATTGATGTTATTTTGTTTGTTTCACTTGATTTAACTGATTTTTGAACCAAATTAAGACAAAAATAAGGTGAGAACCCACAAAATTTGGCCGAAAATGCTTTTAAAATCTCAGGTTTTTCGCTAGATTTCGCTAAAACAAACTAAAAAATCAAGAAATTAGATCTTAAATTGCAATTTTTGAGCGTTTTATCACGTTTTTCAGCTACAAACGTAATTATTTTGCAAAATTAAGTTGAGGAACAATAAGCCCAAAAATCACAGAATTACGCCATTAAAATTTTTTTTTTCTTTTACACAAAAGAAATAGTTTAGTTCCATACTTTTTACTCACACCCTGTATAACCTCTCAGGGAAGTAAACATTTTACCTCTCCCATAAAAACGCAAAAACTAGATTTAATCGTGATACTGGGATTTCAGGAGAAATTGAATTACTTTTGAAGTTTTTATTGTTGGGTCGTAGGAAAAATTATTTGTATCACACGGGAGAAAAGGTCTTTTTTTTTCCTTGGTGATTGCTGTCCGATACTTGTCCCAACTGTGAGAGAAAAAGAGAAACTTTTCGCTTCTGTAACACAAGTATTTTTTTTTTCGAGTTATTATGTTCATTTGATTTACAAGTTTTGTCACAAAAAGATGAACAAAAGTGTAATTTTTAATTCAGGGCACTGTCAATGAGACAAAATTTCGGTAAAATATTTTTATTTCACAAAGTTACAATGAATCTGGCAAAACTCATTCCTATCGTTTCTATTTTTTCCATTGTATTTTAAGACCCCCTGGCAACTCTAATTCCTAAAACAGAAAATATAAAAAATTAATAAAGGCAAGGGTAAGAAAAATCAATGGAAAAAAGAAACTAACAAGTATAAAAAATCAGTCGAAACCATCTGAGACCTTATAAGCCGTCATGGTGTACCCGTTCGAAACCAATTTGACCGGTTTTTTATCTTCGATAATCGTTCTATGTGGCAGATTTCGATTAAAATTGGTATTTTGCACGAATTTTCGTCTCCGTTTCTGGACAATAAACTCTTGACTTGCACTTTCTTCTTCTTCTTCTTCACTATGTGACGTTTTCTCCGTCAAATCATCAATCAATTTCTTCTGTTTCTCCTCACAAGTCTCCAATTGTCGCAACAAATCAAAAAGAATTTTTAACTCTTTCCTCACTTTCAACCCTCGCGAGATTTTCTCATTCATCTCCTCGATTGTGTCTTTTTGAAGCTTGTCAATGTTGCGAATTTCCCACAAAAGGTGCGTTTCGTCTTGGACTTTCGGCGATTCCGAAAGTTTTCTCAAACCGTCGAGAATTTTGAGCTCATTTTCCAAGGCTTTGTCTCTTTCCGCTTTCAAATCGTTCTCCAAATCGTGCATTGACACACCTTTAACAAACTGCAAACCTGCCATATAATCCACATATTTGATCTCCTTCCTCACATCGAACTCAGTCCCCATTTTGATCTTCTCCCCAAAATCCTCCACCACGCGAAAAATCACACATTGAAGCTTTTGCAAACGCACCAACATTTTGATCAGTTTTTTCGTCATGAAAGTCGAGCCTGAGGAGAGGATTGAAGCAATGTCTTTGACTGATTTGTCTCGCAAAGTCTGCATTTCTTTGAATTCGTCGAGGAGGCGGATTTTGCTCGGAATATCGTTGTGTTTTTCCTCAGTCAGGATTTTTTTCCAATCAATGACGAGTAAATCCTTGAAATTTTGCAATTTGTAAAGGTTGGAATAAATCGAGGAGTATTTGTCAAAATCACTAGTGACCAAATCCTGGATTTCGGATAAAATTTGATTGATTCGGTCTTTAATAATTTGGGTGGGGATGTTTGGAGTGGGGTGGGTGACTCGTTCCCGGGCTTGGAGGATAATTGAGTTAATTTTGTCTTTCATATCTTCCACACTTTCTTCTTTCTTCTCATCGGGTGTTTTTTTATTGAAAAATAACGGTCTTCTAACTTTAACTACTCCTTTTTTGTCTTTTGTATCTTCTTCTTCGTTTTGTTTATTGTAAAAGAGAGGTCTTTTCGTCCCATTTATCTCAATAAAGGGACGCCCTTTATTATCAATTATCAGTTTCGAGGAAAGTCTCTCAACTAATAATTTCTTCTTGTTGCTTTCTTTTTTCTTTGGTCGTTCAGTGGTACCAACAAAATCACCCAGTTTGTCCCTCAAAAAAGCCTCAACTTCGTCCTCATCAACCACTTTTAAAATGTATCTTTTTTTTCTTTGGTTTGTGTGATTCCCAAAAACTAGGCTGTACTCAGGTTCATACTGTTCTAGATCTCGTCTATAGCGATATTTTGGTGACGTGTAGTGACTACCAACATCGTCAAAATCCCCAATTAAATTACTAGCAAAATTCAAAACATCATTTTTGAAATGTCGGCCAAATTTTCGCAAATAACGTTTCGAATTAATCAAAACGTGAGGAACCGACTTGAAAACTGGTGAAATTTGTTGTCCGAATCGGTGAAAGTGGTGCAAGAGTCGAATTGGGGTGTTTAAAAGGTAAAAAATTGGGTTTTGTGGTAGGAGATGATTGAAGTTCAATGGTCGAAGAAATTCTTCTCTTGGATCAATCATTTCACGACTTTCCTCTTCTTCCTCTTCTGATTCTTCATTTTCAACATCTGTGACTCGAAGAAACGGCAAACTAATCTCGTCGTCTTCAAAAATGACCGACCTTTTGGCCCTTCCCGAATTCAGTTTGAGCAATTTGTGTAAAAACGACGTCTCAGATGGTTCATAAACGGGATAAGAGACAAGTTGGTACTTGGGTTTGTGTTTTTTCCCATGATATTTGAACGATTTTAAAGTTTGTTCGAGGGGAAATCTCAAAAAACCCGGTAAGAGTCTCATTAGAAACTCGACTGAATTTTTCAAAATGGGCAATTCGCGTTTTTTTCGATTTTTGTACCTGCAGTCGTAGAAGGCGTTGTAAAAGTCGGTTCCGATGGGTTCCAAAACGGGGCGCATTTTGGGGCGCAATGGTATCAGTTTCATGGCTTGGAGGGGCATGGGGGCTGGTTGGTACATTCCTGGTTGGAAAATAGAGGTGCATGTGGGGGTGTTGGTGGCGGGGCTGTCGTCGCAAGCCCCATCATCGGCTGTGTAGACTGGACAGGCTGTAAAACCAAATTTTAGTGCCTTGGTTGGGAAAATATAAAACGTACTTGTTGGAGTTTGATGGATTACTATACGATCAGGCTTGGCTATGAGGCCGGTCATGGGCGGGGCTAAGGGCTTGCCGGGTGATGGGAGGGGCGCTTGTAGCTTGTACTTGTAGGCAAAGACCGGTTGACAGGGCTGGTTCATCAAAGAGGCGGCGTTTAGGGAGTAGTCATAATGGGGGGCGTAGGCTTGTCGGTAGCCCTCCGGGTAGGGAGCCCCCTTCACAATGATCTTGTAAGGACAAGATGGGGGCGAAATCACTTGTAAATGTTTACTACACTGCAATTTGTATTATTATTTTTTTTAATTAATTTTTTTTTTGTCAAAACTTACTTTCAAACATCCACAATCACATGTGATTCCGTCGAAAACGGCCAATACTAAAACAATGATTGAGTATTTGAGATTCATGGTTGGTTTCTGATGGGTTTAGATGGGTCTCAATGGGGTTTTATACCCATCATGTTTGTAAATAGTACGACGATTCGTGATTTTTCTCAAATGAAAATCGATTGAAGGTGAAGGTGAGTTTTCACAAGGGGGTTTTTGACCTTACAATGTTTGTCAATAATAAGTGGTTTCGCAATCGCGCGTGATTTTGCATTCTAGTAATTAACACAAGAAATTTGAAAAAAAATTGTCAAAAATTAAAAATTCCTAAGTCAACAATTAGTAGTGACCATAGATTTAGTAACTATAGATTTGGTTGTTTATTATTTTTCCAATAATAACAATGTTGTCATATTTAACGAACGATATTTATCATTTATTTAGCGTTTTATTATTGTTTCTGTTTCGTAATATTGTGTCTTTAATTAAAATTACAATCAAAGTGGCCTATGACTTGGAATTTCAGTTGGTAACATTGATGCAGAATAATATTGAAATAGAACATAAAAATTACTACATCACCCAGTCTCTGTTTTATTCAGTGTTGCAAACTTTACTTTGATTATAAGTAGAAATTTACTTCGCGTAAACTTTTAAATTAATGTGGTTCAAATTGTAAATAAGTGAATTTTTTGACAGTTGATCTATCACACTCTAAACAATTTAATTTCACTTTTATAATGAATATTATTTTAATCGAGTATTAAATTTATTAATTTAACATTTTTTTAAAATAATTTTTGCCACTAGAAACAAAATTAGTAGCATGGGGAGGGTCATATTTATGTGTTTTTTGTTTATTTTTTACAATTTTTGTTGTTGTTAAAAAAACAGTATTGTAAACCGGGTGGCGACTTTTGTCCACTCACTCGACTCTTGAGTAAATTTCGTTATCTGTCATAATTTGACTTTTTATTATTCTTACTTTTTAAGTCCAAAATGTGGAATTTAAATTAAAATTAGTTCGTCGGTTGAAATTATTTTCAACTATACAGCGTGTCCCTAAAATAAGTTACAATAGCAACTTGTGTTTTTTAATGAAACACCAATTTTTTGACTATTAAACAATGGTTATTTAGCGATGCACTAGATTAGTGTATTTATCAATTTTTTTAACACTTTTAAAAATTTTAACATTTTAGTGGATTTTATCACTTGTATAATTTCGTGTTATTTCGTTTCAATTTTCAATTTTTCTCATGAAGATTATGATCTAAGAATTACAACTATCTACTTTATATTGAATTAAAAAAAATACTTTTTTACATACTTATATTGCAATTTTGACAAAAAAATCACATAACTCAAGAACAAAACAAAATTTTGTTTTCAAAATACGTTCATATTTTTTATATTAAGTACTTTAATTTAGATTAAGTATTATTTTTTGGGGGCAAATAATAAAAAAAAACTGCTTAGTTCTATACTTTATATTCACCCTGTATAAAACGAAATTAAAAAGGAAACACAGCGATGGAATAAAAGTTTCACTTTAAAAAATAAATTGCAATTTTTACAAACAAAATCTCATAATTTAAAAACAAAATAAAATGTTTTATTATACTGTAATTTATGTTAATTGTGATTTTCTGGAGACAAATGATTAAAAAATAACCTTTATATTCATCTTGTATAAAACGAATTTAAAAAGAAAACACTCAGTAGAATACTAATTCTTTGAGTCGGGCTTACGAATTACCGGTTATTTATTATTTTGTAATCGTATCATTTTTCTTAAACTGTCCAATTTTTAATTTGAACTGAAATTTGTGATTTGAAAAAAATATGCACAAATATGCAATATTTCCTAAAATATGCACGAAGGTGCCAAAATATGCATTTTTTAATTGGCTTATTTTAATCAAAAAACGTTACATATGCATAGAAATCTTACATATGCATTTTGCATATAAACCGAGCCTTAATAATTAGACATTTGAAAAAAAAGTGCTTTGTCCTAATTTTTAAAAGGTTTATTGGTAATAATAATAAATGAAACTATACAGAATAATTTTTATTTCTATTTATTTATTCATTCATGCCATTAAAACCATCAAAACAAACCAAAAGTCACATCTTAGCTACACCCCACCTTTTGCAAAAACACACTTTTCGAGTATAAATTTTTGGTGGACGCCGACGCCGACGACGACGACGACGCACTCGACAAATACGTATATGGACTGGTGAAAAGTGCCCCTTGTGGCACCGCCGGAGGCGGCGGAATAAACGCCTCTTCGTCGGCAGGACAGGGCTCAGGAAGTGGGGGCGGCATCGCCAAACTCTCCATTTTGGGCACTTGCGTTATAATCACATTCCCGGGCTTGAAACCATCATCGCAATTTTTAGCGGGGGCTGCGTCAAACGAGGGCCCAGGACCGGCCGAAGGAAGATCCACAAATTGACCATCAACTAAAAAAAAAAATTAGGGGAGAAAAAAAAATTTTGCAACTTACTTTTAGCGGGCCCATAACCGATTTCGCCCAAAGTGAGCGAAGTGTAAGGATTAACCGCCATTCTTGCTTCTTGTTCTTCTTCCTGAAGATCGGTTAATTGTTCTGCTGCTTCATCATCGAGAGATTTCTGGGAATTGCATGGGATTTTCTTCAATTCGACGATTTGGCCGTTCAAATTGAACAAATTCTCTTCCGGGATGTTGTTTCCGGACCGGCGGAAGTAAATTGGGACGTCTTTTGGTAAACTCCGGAAACCGAAAGAGAGTTTATCTTCGTTTTGGTGGCACTTTTCTTGGGACATTTTGTAGGCAACTGATAGAGAGACCGGATCCGCCGGAACGTAATTGGCGGGATTCACCGGAGTTTTTTCGATTTCGTCGACAAGAATGGGTCTTGCGACCGGAGTGTAACCATAAGCGCCCCCACAGCCCCCAGTTTGGGCCCCCCCGAAGAGAATTTGCTGTTGTTGACTTAGTGTCAAATGTTGGTTGTTCAAAACATCGACACTTCCGGTGTAGCCCCCGGAATAGGCTGTGCAAGGGGGGTTGGGGACCACTGCCGGTTTTACAAGTGATGTGTGACAGCTGCAGGGGCTGTCAACTGGGGGGAGGAGTAAAGTGGAGGGTAGTTTGGGTTTGGGGATCTCCAAAGGGCGGACTACCAATGGGGTGCAGGTTTTGATTTTGTCATTGTCGTGACAAACGTCTTCGCCGGAGCCTAAGCCGCAGTTGCAGGACAAGGGGGCTACACCACAGGAGCAAGATAGCAAGGGGTGGGCCTACGAATAAGAATTTTGGGAGTGGGGGTAATTTTAATTGAAAACTTACCAATGTTGAGGCTAATGATAGCAAAAGGAAAATTGAAGTGTTCATTGTTGGGCGATTTGATTGGATTGATGGTCGAGAAGAGAATTTTCTCTTTTATAGTTGACTTTGTTTTGGTTTACACGAGCGATTTGTATATAAAAGGTCACGAAACGAAGGTTCATTCATGATTTTTGCGGGTTACGTGATGTTTTATTGGTTGTTGGAAGGTGAATAAACTTCCAGTTTTTTTTATTTTTTAATTTTTTGGCGCTAAGTTTACGTAAAAATTTCTGATTCAAGAGTTCAAGGACAAGAAAGTATTTTTTCACAGAGAAAGTAATTAATTTGGTAATGGTTGATTTTTATACACTCCTTCAAAAAATTAATAGAACAAAAATTTTTCTTAAATTTTTTGGTGATTTTTTAATTAACCATTTGGATGCTTTAAGTTTCTAGTTTTGGGATCTTTTGGCAAAAATTTTTTTCTGTGCTACATTCATCACGCAATACTAATAGCGCGAGAAAAAAAATCTAAATTTTTTTGTTTTTCTTTTTGGTCCATAGGCCGGATAGCATGTTCGGCCACCTTTAATACGCTTTTTTCATTTTTTCTTTACGTCAATTTGAACATTGCCTAATCTTCATCAAAACAATTTTTTTTGACTTTTGTTATAATTTTGTATTTGTTAAATTTGAAAAAAAATGCTTAATTTTTGAAAAAAAAATTTTTTGGATTTTTTAAATTTGTAAAAAAATTCACGAAACAATACTGAATATTTTTGAAAAAAAAATCGTAAATATTTTTTTAAATTTTCTTTTAAATTTACCTAATGCAACACATAAAAGAAAGCTGAAAAAAATTGTTTTTCTCATTTTGACGAACATTAGACGATATTCTAGGTAGGTAGGTACAATTGTCCTTTTAATTCTTTTTTAAAATTTTGATCAATTAGTCCGAAAAAACGGTGTGATTGGTCGATTTAAAAGTTTACAAGGCTATGCAGGGTATAATAAGCTGTAATAACATCTAAAAACATTAGTTTCCCCATCAATATTAGTGCAAAAAGTTACTTTTTTCTCTTTTCTTTAAATCAATGTTAAAGATGAAAAAAAATTTTTTCCAAAAAAATATAATAGGATCTTATAAGACATTTATTCCAGTTTTTGACACTACCCTTATATTCTCTGTGCGAGCATCGTTTGCTGAGATATACACTATCGACCAAAAGTAAAGAAACATTTACGAATATTAAATATTTCATTGTAGGTGTATTTGATTTTTATATAATTTATTACAAGTAATTTGTTGGGTTATTCTTAAATATATTTTACAGAATTTAGTAAGAATTAAACAGTTGTTGTTGAATGAAAAATTTATTTTATTTTTTCAAGGGACAAAAGTGAAAAAACAATAAATTTATAATTACATATAAATGTTACAGATTAATAATGGGTTGCAAATCCTTTATG